CTGGCTACAAGCCCTCCCCCTGGCTATCTGGGGCTACCCACCAGGTCCCAGAATGGGCTGAAGATATCACCAGTGGAGCCATGTGGGGAGGTGCGGCTGGGCAAGCAGAGTGAGAAGTGGTGCCTCCCTTGCAAGTACAGCTGCAGCCAGGACTGAAGGGCAGGGCATGAGTGTCATGCAGGCAGGGCATGAGTCTCACTGGGTATGGAGCTAGGCAGCTAAGCTTTCGCCCTTGTGCAGGTATGACCCTGGTTTTTAAGACAGGGAAGGAAAAAGACAGCATGGGAGGAGCAGGAGGGTGGGGCTGAGGTAAACCCCAGCATGAAAGCAGCAAGAGAGCTACAAGGAAGCTCTCACTTGACCTGGACTAAACTCCCAGCCTCTTGATGCAGGGAGGGGAAAGACCCCAAGGAACAGAGGGCACAGGCACACACAAGGCTGCTGAGAAAGCCCTAGGCTGAAGGGAAGAACATGCAGAGAAGAAGACCCAGATGTTGTAAACACAGGCTCTCACCAGTTATACACTACCTATTACTGAAAACAAAGGACCCTGTAACCAGCATCTCTGAGTCCAGTGGTTTGATGAAATATAGGGTGGCTCAAGTGGTTAAGATGCTGAACTGCAGGCTGTGGAAGGTCAGTAGTTCAGCAGTTCAAGACCCGGGTGCCGCATAATGGAGAGAGCTCCTGTCTCTAGTTCCAGCTCCTGCCAACCTAGCAGTTTGAAAGCAAGAAATTGCAAGTAGATAAATAGGTACCACTTTGGTGGGAAGGTAACAGCGTTCCGTGCGCCTTGGGGTTTAGTCATGCCGGCCACATGACCACGGAAACGTCTTTGGACAGCGCTGGCTCTTCGGCTTTGAAACGGAGATGAGCACCGCAACCCTAGAGTCGGATTCGACTGGCTTTCGAGCAAGGGAACCTTTACTTTTACCCTCCACAGCCCCAACAATGAACAGTATAAGTTTATCACTGACTTGTTACATTTAAGTAGTTCATCTGCCTCTTGGACCAAACAGTCCAATTTTCTTCTATATGCATGATTTTCAGTTCATAAAAATACAACTACAGCATATTCCACGTGTACATCAACACCTCATGCTATAGTCATTTAACTTTAGAGAGTTTTTCCAGTACACAATATCTTAGATTTATTGGAGGTGATTGAAAGAGATAGGGTATAAGAAAATAAATACATAAATAAAATCCCTGTCCCAAGTACTGATCAAAAATAACTTGACAACCAGAACCATAGGGGAGAGAGGAAAGGCTGGATCCTAGAGAATGCACTTTGTACAGAATGCACAAGTTTGATTTTGTACATAATGGCACAATGAAACCTACACACTTTCAGGAAGGGAGAAGAGGATTTTTAGGACACTCCAGTGACCTCTTTTTGTGGGCACATCAGTACCCATAAAGGACTGGACCACGTATCTAATAAATAATTATAGTTACCTTCTGCAGCTTTATATAGCCTTAGATCCCTTATTCAGGGATTGAGCTAAAAGAACAAACCCTGTTTGCAGGTTCACAGTCCTTTAAAAAAAATGATGATAAGGAAGGGGAAGGAACACAGATGGAGGGGGGAAAGGAGAGGCAGAGACAAAGGTTTGGGAGAAGAGGTATATTTTTAGATGCTGCTTGAACTGTTAAAAGGAAAAAGAGGTGTGGGTGTTGGGAGGCACTGAATTCCATTAAAAGTTATTTAAATGCATTAAGTTATTTCTGTTGTTTAGAAGATGAAACACAAAATTTAAAAGGGAAACTTATTTATAAAATAAGTGTGGGAGACAATTTGATGTCAATGCTATCTAGCCTGCACAAGTATAGTTGACAGTTTTGCCCCACAAGCCTCAGCTAGGAAAATGCAGCAATTGGGTAGAAATTACATGATTCACCAAAAAATATCTTACATTCAAGCCCTGATGCTATGAATCAGAGTTGGGCAGGTTGCTTTTGTGCAAATTTAATTCATTTATTTATATCTGTGTGGGGGAAGCATCTTTAAGGCAACCTTCAGAAAGAAATTCCAGGAAGAATCAACAATGCCATTGACTTAGACACACCTAATAAAATCTGAATATTTGCCTTGAAATGATAGCAACAGGCATCCAAAACAATTTGGAGAATAATCTTTTAGTTCTCTGAAAGCTAAAGCAGCCATTGGAAAAATAAAATGTTTACTCAAGAAAAAGAGCTTCTGATGCGTGAGATCACAGACTTTCCTTTAAGCTTTGGTATATTAAAAACTATAGCTAGTATCCAGAAACACTGAAATATATAACAGAATATGCAACAATGAGGAAATAGTACAGTTGAAAAATAGATTAGTTATGAAATCTGAAATTAAAAATGTTTGAAGTAAAGACCATTGTATCTTATATAAAATGTCTTTAAAACTACTATGAAGGGGATGTTGGGGAGTAATATTTACTTTTTCTGTCCTATATATCTTGTAATATATAATAATTTTGATATATACCATTTGTTTTTAATCCAGTTATTTCTTCAGTATCCCCTGTATATTATACTTTACTTTCTAAAAAGATAGATAGATAGATAGATAGATAGATAGATAGATAGATAGATAGATAGATAGATAGATAGATAGATAGATAAAAGAGCTTCTGACAAATAAATAAATAACCTGTTTTGCCACAGCTGTTAAAAAGCTCACCATCTCAAGAAACTGCATACAGGAAGACTACAGAGGGCACTGTTGTATCAGCTTTGGAACTTTTCTTAGGCAACACTAATACCTAAAGAAAACTGTCACAAAATCCAACCCAGAGTGCAGCATGGATGCAAATGTACTAAACCTAATGTATTAGTAAGCCCAAAACACTGAAGCAAAGTTTCTGAAGACAGCTGGACTAGGCAGGGGGGATAGCCATATAACAGAATGCCAGACTGAGAGGATGACTACTGTACATACATATAGCAGTACCTTTTGTAGTCTTGCTCAGTGAAAAAGATAACTAATCATAGCACTTTCTTCATCCTTCACGAACATCATCTTCTTATACTTTCCAAATGAACAAATACGAATAGTAATACAGTTCTACCATATTATCATCATAAGAAAGGTATATTCTCACAATACAGTTGTATTATGAGAAAAGACCAGTACCATATGCCACCTCTGTTATTTCTACTTTCCACTTCTGGTAAGATATAAAAAATACAAACAAGCTTAAGGATTTTGCTTTTCTGACTTAAAGATATTGCTCAGGAGAGCTTTGGCAACATCTTCTGTCCATCTCATTGTAGTGGATGGCATAATAACATGATTTGTTCATAATCTAATCAGTATATCTCCTCAGATAAATTCAATGAAAAATGTTCTGGATTTTTTGATTAAAAAAATAGAAAGGCCTATGCTGATCCATGGACAGAATTACTCTACGCAAAATCATTTTTCCTTCTTGCCATATTACGTGTATTTATATTATTAATCATTGCTGATACACTCCAAAGGAAGCTGGATACTATTTTGTTTTTCTATAAACCACTGTCCCTAATTTGCAATTCAGCACATGATTACAAGAACTAATATCCCAAGAATTTCATAGGATATACATATGTATAATGCACACGCACACACACCTATTTTTCATTAAAATATACTTCTGCTGGCTGATAAGGCAGCATATATATCATGAAATATTCAGTATAAGGTAGGGTTGCCAGCCTCCAGGTGGGGCCTGGGGTTCTCCCGCTTTTACAACTGATCTCCAGCTGACAAAGATCAGCTCCCCTGGAGAAAACGGCTGCTTTGAAGGGTGGACTCTGTGGCATTGTACCATACTGAGGCCCCTCCCCTCTCCAAACCCCACCTCCAGGTATTTTCCAACCCAGACTTCGCAACCCTGGTAAAAGGCTCAGGGGTTTTCCTCTTAAATTCTTCTTTGCTTTCAACAGCATTATAAAGGCCAATTCATTCAGCCATATTGGCATGTTGGAAATGTGCAGTCAGTGCACTCACATACACTTTGCTATAGAAAAGCAGTCCTGAAACTGTTTCCACACCTAGCATACCGGCATCCCAAACCATATTTACCACAATACCACAACTCTGCCAGAGGTGCACAACTGATTTATCAGCATATTTACTTTTGGTGTTGAAACATATATCATGTTTTGTGATGCTCCACTAGATTCAAAGTTCATTTAATCAATTGCTATTGCTTACTTGCTGGCAAAGAAAATCTTGTGAAGAGGAAGGAAGACAGAATGCCACCTATTCCATGCAACTCCAAAAAGATAAAGCAAAAACAAAAAGTTTATTTCTCCTTTGGCCTGAAATCATTAATAGTCATGTTAGAATGTTATACAACAAGCATCCTATTTCAAAGTAAAAATGTTAGTGCTATTTTTTCTTTAAAAAATGAAAAGCAACTGCAGTTCTCAGGTCTTGTTTAAGAATCCATTCATCAAACTGCTTTTTTTAAACTGAGGCTTGCCAAAACCATGCATATACCAAATTCTAGGTAAACCCAAAAAAAGCATTTTGAAAAGTTTCACAAAATAGATGGCATGTAAATGCTAAAAAGATGAGTATTTTCTGAAAATATTAACAAAATCCATGATTATGCATGTTGCAATGCAATATTTTAAAACTAATTTTTGCCAGCTAATTTATTGAAATCTTGATTGTGAACAAAGCTGCTTGTACCAAGACATACAACATTGTTTATTCCTATGCAAGCATTTCACTTAAGGATAATGGCAGTGCTCCTAAAGGAATATAAAAGCAAAGTGATTAGCAATCATTACCGTTAATTAGTGCTCACTTTGCATTTAGAAGGATGAGACTCCCTTCTTAATAAATGGAAAGTTTCTTCTGAAGCATTGCCAAACCTATGCTAGGTAAGCATTGGACTTAACTACTGATAAGCAGACTTCCAAAAAAAAAAACCAACTAGCGACAGACTCAGTTAGTGAACAACAACTTTTAAACAGGAAAAGGTTTGAAAGGAATGAGTATGACTGGAAACTCATACTTCACATTGTGTATTCTCCCTGATAAAAGGAGGAAATGTGTGTTTATCAATGTGCTTTGAGTGCACAGTTCATTTGGCGTCCTGTAAACAATGCCTGGTTGCCCATTTCCGAATACATGCGAGAGTTTTACAAATCCAGAACGCCATATTCAGCAGGCAAGGTCACCCTAGTAGTGCCCTGGAAACGGAAAATCAGGAAAAGCTGGCAATCAGAGGTTTGAGGCTGATGGGGGAGACGGGAGAGGCTTTCTAGCCATCTTTCACCACTAGCCCAGCTGTCTCTGCTTATTCAGTATTAACACAACAGAACTGGAGGGAATGAAAACAATTCCATACACAACAGGGATAAATTCATTGGAAATGTTGTTTACCTAAAGGTGCAAATTTCTCATGGTCAGAAGCCTCCTATGGAAGAAAAAAATGTTGCAGAATCCTGAGCTAGGAAGAACATATTCACTAGTTTTTAGATGAACCACAGGAAAGAACAAGCAGTCAGATGATAAAGAGTCCTAGATTCAGGAGTTAAACATCTGGGGGGGGGGGGAAGGGAGCAGCTTCTGGAACTGATTTTTGCAACTCAGACCCAACTATGTTTACTTGGAAATAAGCCAAACTGATTCCAATACAACTGACTTCCAAGTCATAATGTTTTTGGAAGTTGTTCAGTACTAGATCTTTTAACCTGAGAAAGCATTTGGCAGCCAAGGAGCAGTATGTTTTCCATGGCAATGATGTTTTAAACACTATTTTGTTTATAAATATCTTCAGTATAACTCCATTCCTCTGAAATAATCTGTCCTGCCTGCCTTCAAAAAATCCTGAAAGGATGTGTAATTCAGAAAGACTTTTTATAACCAAGGCTGAATACGGCTGACAGAACTTTTCTGGATGCTGGTGGTTGGGAACCCACAGAAAACTTCCAGTAACAGAAAGGGAAACTTCCCTTTCATACTGTTCCTGAGGATCCCATGTGCCCCAGGAGAAACATTTTGGGCTTCAGAGGAGGGGGAGGCAAAGAAGTCCCTTCAAATCCTGGAGATTTACCACAGGATCCAAACTTGTGTCTATAGCTGAATGGTAATATGTCATATTTGGATTTGTTTGGAATAAAAATATTTAATTAATTAAACACTGAAATCATAAATTTGGGTGGTTTTTAATTATAAAGGCCGATATAAATTAAAATAACAACAACAACAAAACAAAACCAACAACAAATCAAATATTCAAACACACTTTGAAATTGTGAATTCTCACAATCTATACAGGTATAAAGTTGCCAAGCCAAACAGGTTAATTATTTGGGATCTTTCTTCTGCCATTTAAGAATACCGTGAGCCATTGGCTGCCAACTACACAAGTCATCTTTTTTTCCTTAGTCCCCAAAGATTCTTTAGGTAAATGGCTAAGTGCTCTGTTTCCAACAGTTCTTTATGGTGAACATTTCCTGCACCTTATGATGCCTGTCACAACATGTACATATTGCACAATAATTTCATTTCTGGTTCGCCATGCTCAGTTGGATTTTTAAGTGACTGGTTCTGCTGTTTACCCTCAATTTTGGTAGGAATGCTTCAGGGAAGAAAGAGAAAACACCATAATTGGAGCCAAATTTTATAAAAGCAGCTGCTGCCTGAATGAGGATATATGAACAGCAAGGGCAGCAACATCACAAATATGAACAACAGGGGACTTAAAGGAGCTGCATACAATGCAAACAAGGGCACTGTGGTAGGTTCCAAAAATACTAAAGACAGGGAGTCATAAAGTTCTACAATGTGGAAGAGAACTAGAATGTATACAAGGTATGCTTCCAAATATGGTAAACCAGGGCCTTCCCTATGAGTCTCAGAAAAGGGCTCACAGCCTCAACAGCATCACTACTCTTACTTTTCATGGAGCAGTCAGGAAAGTCCAAACAGCTTGGTCTAATTGCTTGCCTTCCCCCATTTTTCCAGGGCCACAAAAATTCTGGTGCTGGCACAAAATGAATACTATATTATCTCACAATGCCAGTGAAGCACAGTGATTAGGCACACAAGTTACTGATGAGGTGAGCCTTAAGCAAGCTGTTCAGTCTCAGTTTTCCATCGCTCTACCTCATGCAGATGTTCTACGGATTACTGAGATGTGAAACAGTGCCACCACTTACTATTTACTTAAAACTTTTGTTAACTATTGTTGATAGGAAGGTGATAACAAAGCTAAAAGTTCTTCATGACAGAGAAATTTATTCTCTGGAATGCACATCCTGCAAAACAGACCACTGATGTTGGACAGTCTACATATTCTGCTGCGATGAGGAGTCTGCTTTAAATCGCTTCATGTAGTGGCTTCAAGTCATTCATATGCAACAGCTCACCACAGAGAGCGATTTTCTCAAAAGAAAGGCCTATGCTGGTACAGAGGATGGGGGGAGGGGAACCCTGACATGTATAGTGAACCATTGCCCACAGACTGCTGACCATGTGATAACAGCTGCCACCCAGAACAATTTAGAGTGACCTCCACAGGACAGTCACAGTATACAGACCAGTCCAGAATCAAGAGATGAAGTAAAATCACAATTCCATGAGGCTAAACGTATGTTTATAGGGATAGCTTTATAAATAAATTCAGTGTAATAATAGCACGGATTAGTATTTTTCAGCCTCTCTCACACATGTGTTCATTTCAAATTCAGATATGGGTCTTCTCAAATTAACTATTTTGTATGCAAAATGTACATGCCTTCACTGCATATCAAGTAAAACCATGCTGCAGCAGGATGGGGAGGACATTTCCCCTAAACACATTTATCTACAATATAACCTTTTTGTAAACTCTGAAGGACATATGGGGAAATCAAGGAAAACAGACTCTCTCAGTCTTTCCATACTTCCCTAATAATCACATTGCTTTGGCACTCAGTGCTCTTTCTGAGCAGCCCCAGCTCCACCCCTGCATTCATTTTTAAGTTTATGTCTCAGTATCACTTAAGGACCTAAGCACTGCCTTGAGTTATGGGGTTTACTGATGGAGGACTATCATGACAGGAGTCACCATAAGAGGAGCTGCATTGCCAGGGGATTGTTTCATGTGTACAAGAGAGGTTGTTACAAAGCTGGGGGTATGGCAAAATAGGAAAGAATTCTGCATTTATACATTTCTTTACAAAAGGAAAAGGTTTTTTCTTAACAAAATACCCATCAAATACACACTGGGGAGCGATTCTCAGCTTCTGCTTTAAAAAGGTATTTAACCTGCAATTTCCAAAGGTGTGGTATTTATTTATTTATTTCCTTCCATTTATATCCCGCCCTCCCTGCAAAGTAGGCTCAGGGCGGGTTCCAACCTATGGTAATCTGCTGATTATCTCACCCTGAACTCAAAATAATGTTGCAAGTGTTGAAAACTTAAAAGTTTATTAAGTCATTAAAGAGAAGCAACTGAAATAATTATTCAATTTTATTATGGTACACGTCTACTATATAATGATGGGTTAGATTTAGACTCCAGTGTTCCCTCTAAGCTGAGTTTGTGTGAGCTAGCTCACAGTTTTTTAGCCTCTGGCTCACACATTTTCGTCTTAGCTCAGGAAGGATGGCTCCAGAGCAAACCAATTTGTGCAGTAGCCAAATCGCTGGCTCACAACTTTAATGCCAGTAGCTCATGAAGTAGGATTTTTGCTCACAAGACTCCACAGCTTAGAGGGAACATTGGACTAGACTGGCAATTTCTACCAGTTCCCCCTCCCTGTTGCAGACCCCCTTCATGTCAACCCGTCAGGGTCCCTCTTTCACCAAGGGTGCGTTCAGACGGGGCGTTTCAGCTGGCATAAACTGTACCGGTTGGAACCGGTGCAGTTTATACCGGCTGAAACGCGATCACACTTACCTCCCTCACAGCGGAGCCCATCGCTGTATGCCCGTTCACATGCTGCGGGCGTCAGCGTTTTTTTTTTAAACTCAATTTGAGCATGCGCATAGGCACCCATCCACAAAATGGTGATCTTTGCGCATGCTCAAAACACCCCGTATTACATTTAAAGTTTAAAGGTAAGGACTTACCTTTAAAGTTTAAAGCCCAAACTGGTCTCCCTGAAGTCCCGGACCCCTCCGGAAAGTTAAACTAAGGGCCTTTTCTTTTTTTAAAAAACAAACGCCGGGGCAAAGCTTCGCCCAAGCGCATATCGGCAACCTAACAAAAAAAATGGTGGGCGAAAATCTGAAGCCTCGGGCTTCTGAACGGAAGTGGCTCTGGAACGGTGGAGAGCGATCAGACGGGGGTACAGCGATTACAACCGTTGTACTCAGGATACCACCACTTGGGGACCTAGTGGCAGAGTACAACGGTGTAAAGGGCTTTGCAATGGTTAGGGACGGAAGGCAGATGTTCTACGTGTGAACGCCGGTAAGTACACCGATTGCAACCGGCACCTATACCGTTGCAAACGCTGCATCTGAACGCACCCCAAGAGTAGCATTTTGTGGCGCTCAGTGGGCTGCAGCGGGAAGGAGAAGGCAGCAAAATTCCATTCCACTGATGGGAAATTTAATCTGGAACCAACTTGATGGTTTAAAGATGATACCATTTTACTGGCAAGTGTATCTGCACATCAAAAACAAACAGCAACTTCTATAAATGGTTTTATATGTTAAAAAAACATATTAAAAGTTTAACACACAAGATTCAGAGTGGCTGAGCCTTGGTTTTTGACTGAAAATTTACAGACAAGCAGACAGAGGGTAACTGTTTAGGGCAGGGGTGTTGAACTCATTTGTTATGAGGGCCAGATCTGACATAAATGAGACCTTGTTGGGCTGGGCCATGTGTGTCATAAAATGTAATGCCAGGCAGTGGAGATATAAACTTTATAAAGGACACAAACACAAATATTTTTTTACTTAAAATAGAAACATTAGCTCTGTAAGCTGCAAACCTACTTTTGATTTATTGACATTCACCACAGACATCTCATACTCAAGAGTTCTGAGTCTAGGACCTAGGTTAAAACATGAAATGGTTGAGTGATTAAGAGTCTGACAAAGCAAGCTATGATGCAGCAGCAGCAGAACTGGAAGCAGGAGATGGCCAATTCCACTGCGGGACAGATGTAAGCCCTCTGGGGGACTTATCCGGCCCCTGGGCCACATGTTTGACACCCCCCAGTTTAGGGTATCTGGGAACTGCACTTTA